TGTGTGTGTGTATGTGACGAGAGAGAGAGAGTGTGTGTGTATTTGTTTAAAATGTACTCTACATTCTTTAAAGTTCGATGTAGATACTTTACTTGAAAAGGATAAATGATCACATTAAAATGTTTATATATTAAAATATGTATAAACCATACTAAAATACACTATGATAGCAGTTTATATCGAGCCATATTAACTTTTTCTGGAACATTTAAAATCTATATTAAATTAGCAGAACTCGGGACCTGAAAGAAAAATAAGTATAATAAAGTAATATTTCAATGCCAAGTTTTATTAGTCCTGGTTCTATAATACAGAAACCTAGTATGCTGTGTTAGTCATTACTAAACCAACTTTTTCCTTTTTTAAATTGACTTCTCTGAAGGGCTGAAGTTCCTAAAAGAAGTAATAAAGCGCAAAAGGCTAGTGTGCCGGTTAAAAGGTCAAGCCAAAAGCCATGTCTTCTACCCTTTAGCAAAACAAGTTTTGCGAGACATAAAGGGCAAAACCATAGTGAAGGCTGGGGAAGTGCTCAAGCAGCAGAGCGCCTGCCTAAGCAAGCGTGAGAGGCCTCTGTCCCTGTCCAAAATGCAAATTTACAGTACCACCAAAAAAAAAAAAAAAAAAAGCACAGAGAGAAGCCAAGTGCTTCCTCCTCTTCAGCCCTTCACCAGACCTTCTTAGCTCTCATAAACTGGACAAAAGCCAACTCCTGTGTTTCCCCTAGCCTTGGACCAGTCTGCACTAGAAAAATCTGGCATAGTTAATAAAAAGAGCACTTTATACTAAATACTGTGTCTCATTTACAAACTTAAGGACTCCCAGTTTTTGGGCTTATTAGAGTGGACTCATTGGTAGAGCACCTGCCTTGTAAGCACGAGAAAACCTGAGTTCAAACCCCAGTAATGGCCAAAAAAAAGATCAGCAATCATCTTTCTTGCCATAGATCTATCCCATTCAAACAAAGCTTCTCAACCCTTTACCACAATCCTTCAGCTTTCTACAACTTCTGCAGTCGTTCTATATGCAATGACCCGCTTCACAGAGAAAATAGCTAGCAATATTCAAACAGTCCTTTGACCTTCTGTCCTGGAGAGGGGCCTATGTCTTAAACAACCCTCCTATAATCTGAGAAGGAACTCACTCTCCCTGCTAAGACTCACCTAACAACAGCATCCAGTCAGTCCCTTCCCCTTCTCTGCAACCATCTGTAGCCATTCCTGTCTCAATCTTTCAGGCTGGCTCTGCCCAAAGCTTGTCTGACACACATTCACCATCCAGCCAGCCAGCCAGCAGTACTCTTGCCTCTGCTTCGCTGACTAAAATGGCAATTTACACGAACTGCTTCACCAACTCACTTCCATTAACTCTCAATCCATTACAGCTCATCTCTTCCATCTCCTATCTACTACCCCATGCTTTACCAAAACTATTCTAAATAGATGCCAATAACTCCCATTTGCCCAGCAAACGAGCCTGTTTCTTACCAGTAGCTAAGACTTCTAGGAGTTCTCTACATCCTCGAAGTGTTGACTGAAAATACTGTAAAAGTCTGTCTCCTCCTCTTCCCCTCTTCTGTCTATCTCTTAAATACCCAAAAGATCCATACTTGACAAGACACTCTTTTCTACAAGGACTGCTCTGGGGACCACCATTCATTTCACGACAACAGGATGCTTCGTATATTCCATTGTGACCAGTTTCTCCTCTGGCCACACCTCTCTCGAAAGCACCAAATTCATATTTTCAACTGCCTAGAAAGAACACCCACCAGATTGTCACCAGCGAAGCAATTCAAACTTTTCAACACTTCCTAAATCATTTTTCCCCACCAATCTACTCCTCCTCTTGGGTAATTATTATGCCTAGACATCCAGTTTTCCAAGTAGAAGTCTTAGGGCATCCTTGTATTATTTCTCCCCAAATCTCCAGTGTTTATCTTTCACCAAATCTCACCCATTTTACTTCCTAATCTCGTGAGTTAAGGTCTTGGGTATTCTTTTGGTTTGTTTTGTGGCAGTACTGGAGATTGAATCGAGGGCCTTGGAGACAGGCACTTTACCGCTTAAGTCACCATTCGTTTTGTGTTTTGTTGAGACAGGGCTCACTGTATAGTCCAGACTGAGTTAAAGTAGACATCTCCTAAACTCAGCCTTCGAGTGCTGGAATTACAGGCATGTACCACCACTCTGACACCTGGGATATTCTTCCTCCTCCTCAACCTTCTTCTGGGATTTGAACTCAGGACTCACACTTACTAGGCAGACTCGTCTTCCTCATCTATCTTACTCCTTACTGCTACCAGAATTACCTTCCTAAAAATAAATTTTAAAAAATCGAAACAGGCTGTATCATATGTTCCCTTATAAGACTAGAAAAAAACTAAAAAGGAAAATAATACAACATGATGGTTGAGTGTTAGGGAAATGAAAAGACTCAAAACTGGTGAGGGAACTACACTTAAACAAAATACTGAAGCAATATAATAAAACTTATAAAGGTGTATAAATAGTAATTCTATTTCTAGAAACTTATTCTAAGGAACTAAACAATACAGACACAAACATTTAAGTGCATCCTGAGGTTCCCATCATTCTCAGTAAAAAAGCCCAAAGGAACCCCTCCCCCCACCTTTTTTTTCACATAGCTGTACCAGTTATACCTGGAATGTCTTCCTCCCACCATGCCCTGTCTTCAGCTTGTAAAACGGAAACTCACCCTTGAATTCAAGGTCAGCTACTCTTTCCTCTCACAAGAATTCAATGACACTCTGCAACCTCTCGTTCCCTACAGTACTGACTATTAGTCCCTAGGGACAATGGTTTATGTATTTTCTATGTAGTGCATATCTGCATTACCCACAACAATGTCTGACACATAGGGGTCCAATAAATATAATGTTGAATGAAAGTATTTTCTTCCTCCTTACAAAGAATTCTTTCATTTTAAAAATCTCAGTAACTTTTAAAAGGTATTTCCTAAAGTGCTGATAGACTGCAATGCTATATTAAGTCCCTATACACAAGCAAATACTCTTGTAAATGTATAAATAGTCTGTATTTTTTGTTGCCAGTTAAGCTATCATACATGTATTTTTAGCATAGCACCCTAGTTTCACATCCTGTACATTTTCCAAGTTGAAGATCCTTAACTTACTATGTTCTTCACAGATTTTTCAAAAAGTGTGAAAAAAAACAGGCAGCTAAGTTAGCTTGAGTCTATACATCACAATCCAAATACAGGACACTCTCAGGGATTTGTTTATGTTTAAGGTAAATACACATAATGTTCCCAATGCTGTGCAAATGAATGAGACGGGCTGAGTACAATATTAACACAACTTGCTAGTACATTTCATAAAGACAGAAGGCATCAAATAAATACTTTGCTGTTAAACTTTTTACTGTTCTGTGTATAGGTAGTGAAAAATATCATAGACAATTTTACTTTCAAGGTTAAAATAAACGGTCAGCTCATTATCTCTCTTGGCCAATAGCTATGAAGACTTTTAGTCATGGCTCTTTTTGCCTCTGGCTCACTTAAATCACTTAAATATCTGTGCTGAAGGAAAAAAAAAAAATTGCGGTGCTAAAGAAGAGGGTATGCCTGGTTACCAAGATGGGTAAAATTGAAGCTGTCAGACAAGTGTACTTAAAACAACACAACTTAGTCGATCCAAGCCGCATGCAATGGAGTTATTGTGTTCAGTCCCAGGGCAGAGTTCCCTGAAGGACTTTTAGGATCTTAGTCCTACTGTTCAATAGAGTGCTATGGAACTGGTACCTGAAGGATTCCTTCTTGGAATCCCCAAATTCCAATTTAAGACCCTATGAATCTTTATTTGAAGTTTAGCTCCTTAAAGAATAAGGATTTCCATAGTGGGTCAGAACTGTAGTCTAGGTCTATCCAATCTATAATTTTATATCTGAAAAGTGGTGCCAAGAAAAATATTGTAAGAAGATATGACTGTCCTCCCAGATGCCAAGTTAAACATTTAGAGGTATGTTCCAAAACATCTTACTTTTCTTCAATAATCTAATATGAATTCATCATACGTGAAATGTTTCAGTACTATGCCAGAGTTCTTTTCTGTGTCATTATATAACTAGTATTTTACATATAACTATAGTAAGTGCATAAGTATTACATAAGCAGTACTGTGCATCCAAGAACATTAAGTGTTTACTTCAGGTTTTCTCTGTCCAATGGTGTTTCCTGTACCTATAAGCATAAAACAATATAAGTAGTTTGGTCATGCATTTTTCCAAGTTGAACTCCTTTTTAAGTTTCAAGAGAGTTCCTAATTCTAATACAGGTAACAGCCTCATTACATCCTTCATGACTTCACAAAGTTCAGTTCCATTCCTTATAGACTGTGTCTTTCTAGACTGCAGAAATTTTTATTGTGTCTTTATATAGAAATAAGTCTTTACTCTGCACCATTTCAAATTTCTTAATTTTGAGTTATCTTACAGGCTCCAAACTAAAACTAAAATTGAGTAAGTCTATGAGCTTTATTTTAATTTTGTCAACATTCAGTCAAACATCTGATGTTAAGTTAGGAAAAGCAGCCTCAAAAATATTTCTTACAATCACCATACCCCAAGACTTACAGGAAATCATAAGGTAGTCCTCACAGTTGTTTTTGTCATCATCCTGCTGGTCCACAGGGATCCCATTGGCATCTATGACTGCTTCAGAGGCACAGTCTGCTACCAGTACTTCTTCTGAAACTACATCGGTGGTCAGAGGATCAGTGACGATTTCTGCTTCTACTACACTATCATGAACCACATGTTCAACATGTCCAACATCAGTCACATGTATAGATTCACTTGTCAAGACATGTTCTGGCATAGACATAGAGGCTGAAGTAATGTCAGAACCTAAGACATCATCTGGGACTGTGCAATGTGTTAAAGAAACTTCTTCAGTTACATCTGAGTCCAGCACTTGCTCAGGAATGATGACTGTTTCAGATACATCTGCTTCTTCCATGATATCTGGGCACTGAACATCTTCTATAACAACGTCCTCAATAACATCTTGGATTACAACTGAGTCTGGATCATCAGGAACAAAGTTATGCACAGTTATGTCTGAATCCACAACATCTGACACAAAAACAGTTTCTTGTACTTCCACAACAATTTGATCACCATCCATGTGTGTAGCACTAGCTCCTTTAAAAACAAAAAGATTAAAGTGACAAATTTCAGGTAGGAATGCATGACTGTCTCAACTAGTGTAAATATTATTTAATTTCTACTAGGACAATAGGCTAGCTCAGTTTTCTCAAATATTAAGGTAGATTAAAGAAATAAAAAGGAAACCTATTTTTGAATATTAGAAAGACTTTTAACACAACTTATGTGTACTCATCCCAAATCAATTAGTAAATAAAGATTAATAAATAAAGAAATACTAGAATAAAGTAATTGAGGCAGTCATAAAAGAAATACATTCATGACAATAAAATTCTAGTCACACTAAAACTCATATTCATACATACTTCAAGGACAATCATAAAAATTAAATATAACTTCAGGTGGCAAAAATACTATTTTCCTTCATTGTGTGTGTTTTTCTTTTTTTTTTTTTTCCTATCTGCTCTATCTCCCTCTTCTCAACTCATGTTTTTTCCTCTTGCCATTTCTCCATGTATTTCTTTTACTTCCTTTCCATTTTTTCCCTTTCTTCCTTCACATCCTTCACCGTTTGTTCTGGTATAAGTCACCACCAACATCCTCCATCTAGAACTACAGAAACTTAAGTCAACCGCTGATTATAACACATAAAAAGATCAGTACACAAATGAAAAGAAGGATAGAAGGTCACAGTTTAGGAAGAAAGACAATTGGTTGAGGATATCTATCTCTGTGGATAGATAAAATGAACACAAGTGCAGCTGCGTTGGGGCAGTAGAGGGTGAGAGTAGTCAGAGTGGGCCTGTCCTAACTTCACTAGAGTACTCAACTCCATCTAGCCTCCTCCCTGTCCCGAGACCCCACCCCCAAAGGCAGTTGTTCACAATATGGGAAACCTCATTGGAGTCCATTCTGCAGTTAAGGAATGAAGGTAGAGAACTGAATCAATTGTAACCCAATGAGATTAAATGACTTAACCAAGATCACAATTTGCACAATGTACAGTGCTCAATAACTGTTACTCTGAATGCCACAAATGGAACAGAAATCATATATCCTTAACAAAAAAAAAAAAAAAGAAGAAGAAGAAGAAGAAAAAAAAACAAATCCAATATCTTGACTGCTGGTACAGAGAACAGCAAAGAATGCTTTATGAAAGTCTTACTGAAAAGCTATTCAGTTAGTACTTCTGGTTGTGACTCACAGCAGGCTAAGTCTGAGCAGGTGCCTTACTCAATGACTGTATCTATGGCCAGGCACTCAAAAGAAACACATGGCTTTGTTAACAAACAGAAATGGTCAAGGGCCAAAGAATACTAAAAATTGCTGTGGAGTGGTTCAAGCACTAAGAGTGCCTGCCTAGCAAGCATGAGGCCCTGAGTTCAAACCCCAGTGATGCAAAAAAACTAAAATTATATAGAAAGTCTTTAAAGTTAGTTAATATTCACCATAATTACTTCTAGAAATAATAAAAAGAATATGCTCACTTTAATTTCTATATAACTTCTACACTAAGATGAACATATTTAGTGGCAAGAGTACTGGCTACAAAATCTAAATCAGGAGGCTTATATACTTAATAGTTTTGTGACCTTGGGCAAGTAATTTAACCTCTGAGTTTCAGTTTCCTCATCAGGAAAATGAGGACAGTAATATCTGCCATGCATACCTCACAGGACTGTGGTGATGATCAAATGGGAATATATGGGAAGTGTTCTGAAAAACTGTAATGAGAGGTTTCATTATTATTATGACATATGAAAACGGAGGCCCTGGAGTATTAAGTGACTTGCTCAAAGATAAACAAATACGTAAGCGTTAACAATCAGGACTTAAATGCAATAGCTTTTCAATCTACCACTTAGTCCATGACCTAGGTTCTTGTGGCAAGATTAAGCAAATAAATACTGCATATTTTTCTCTTAAGAGCTTAGTCTCTCTTTCAAGTACATTATACTTCATGTTCCAATAAAGAACTATAAACTTTTCATTCACCATTATCAAACTTGAAAGACTATTCTAAGTTGTACAAAAACACATACCCTCCCCAACTAGACTTATAAAGAAAAATTTAAAATTAAAAGTCACTAATTTAATTTCTGATAGTTACTCCTTTAACATACTATAATCTGATCATTTAAAGTCTGATGGAAAACTCAGTAACATTTTTATTTGTAAAGACAGCTAGGCTAGTGTGATATAAAACCATTTTATATTATAAAACCAAATGCAATCACTTTATAATGTTATGTAAACTAGAACCATAGGTAATCCAAAATTGTATTTTTTTTCACATTTTAAAACCTCATGAATACAATTATCCTTGTACACTTTGGGGAGTGAGGTTGAGACTATCTTCCTGAAGCAAAAGGCTCCTTATGGGAACTTCTGAGAGAGGGTTGTAAAAGCAGGACAGGGTCAGGATGTGGAGGACCTTGGGTTATTCTTTATCTGATGGGTAACACAGAACAAAGAAATGACATGATTCACATGTTATGATGAGTACTCTGATCAGTGGGCTAGATAAGAGACTTAGGGTAAGGAAAATAATATGAAAGTTATCACAGAGTAAGAGTGAGATGACGGAGCCTATCTATGTGACAGAAATAGAATGAAGAGCAACAGATGTAAACAAGGAACATTTTCAAAGTGACAACCAACAGAACTCAGTGGGGTAACAGGGCAAAATGAGATTAAGTGAAGAAACCACTAAGGTTTTGATATTACTGTTGTTGCAGGTTGAGTATTCCTTACCCAAAATGCTTAAGGACAGAAGTGTTTTGGATTTGGGGTATTTTCAGATGGAACCAAAGTCTAAACATGAAATTCATTTATGTTTCATATATGCCTTATACACGTAGCTTGAAGGTAATTTTATATGATATTTTTAGTGTACCTGTGCTCTGACTTCAATCCATTACATGAGGTCAGGTGTGGAAATTTCTTTTTACTTGGGGTGTCATGTTAGCACTCAAAAACTTTGGATTTTGGAGCATTTTGGAGCATTTCAGATTTTCAGGTTAGGAATGCTCAATCTAAACTGACAAGAATATGAAAACTAGTTGTGAAGGAGACAAACTTTTAAGGAGAGGACTAATAAGATACCTAACTGTGACTATCAATCTGAGAGAGTCTAGCAATTTGTCCACATGACAACTCCAAATACAGTAGATAAAAAGTGAAACAATCCAAGTAGTTATACCTGTTGCATCAAAAAATGAGTTTGGCTCTTGTGGTTGTAATTCAAGTCCATCTTCATCCATGGCCTTCTATTCTCATCAGTCACAGCTCCTAAAGCAAGGGAAAAAGCAAACTAAGCATTAATTTTTCATATCATGTATTAAAATATCATATATTCATTTCTGAGGCACTCCAGTTATATACCAGATGAACATCTATCAAAAACATAAACATGTATAATGGGCTGGGGGTGTGACTCAAGTGGTACAGTGCCTGCCTAGCAAGTGCAAGGCCCTGAGTTCAAGCCCCAGTACTGTCACAAAAAATAAAAATAAAAATAAAGCCAAAAGGGTCACCTTTGCCTAGACTTTTTTTTTAAATTGAAATACTGCTTCCATACATCAAATACACACATCTTGATGAATTTTAACACCTACATAAACCTCCATAATACCACCCAGAATAAGACAGAGAACAGTTCCCAGCATTTTCATCTCAGCCTGTATATCTCACACTCCCACAAGACTTTGTTAAGGTTCGACTTAAACACATTCTGTAGCTTATGGTAGAAAATTTCTGCACAATTTTCGTATTATTTCTTTAAATTTAATATAGTCTGCTATCTTTCAACCAGTAAATTGAACAATGGTAAAAATCCAAATTGAATAAGTAAACACTACAATTTGAAATTTCAGCCTAACTTACAATGACCTCTCTTAATCAGGTGATCTAGAAAAGTTAAATCCCCACAGTGTACTTATATTCTCTTGGCCATAGGTAATTGGCACTAGCTATAAAATGGTAAAAATAAGTTCATCATTTTTTTTCTTTTTCTATTTCATTTTTGTTTTTATAAGTTCATCTTTGGGCAAAATAAAATTATAGTCCTATACCTTACAATCCGAAATGATGAGCAAAAATCACTCTTTCCCTCTCCCTGTCTTTGTCCTTTTCTCTTGCTCTCTCTCTCCCTCCCTCCTTCCCCTCCCTCAGTCCAGGTGGCTGGAACACAGTAACTGAGGAAGGTCATTTTCCAACTTTGGCTTAGACTAGTGAGATAAAATTTACAAATAAAAAAATTAAGAGAATCAAATGAATGCCCTGAGAAACAAAGTAGACAAACAGGGATGGGAGGCTTACCAATGGCTTTTTGCCTCGAAGTTGACCTTGAACTCACAATCCTCCTGCTTTCTATCTCCTGAGTGCTGGAATTACAGGCATGGACCAACACGCCAAGCATGCCTTGAGATTATGCAAGACCCAATGATCTTAATTCTCCCTTTTCTACTTTAGCCAAAAATTTACAGCAAAAAGTACTTTAACCAATAGTATAATGTACTACTTAATAGTAATTATTGTTTCAAAAGATCAGACATCAGGGATTGTGATGCTCATGCTATAAGTATTACATAAACCTCCTCATTGGTTTCCCTATCTCTTTTTCACTCTAATTCAACCTAAACAGAACTTTGGGTGCACCTTTCTTTTAACCTGTACTTTTTTTTTTTCCTGACATAAGTACTACGTTTCTTGTTAAAATTTCAAGTACCAGAAATACAAGCCATTTTCTTAAAGCATCAGCTAGGTGACCTTATTGCTCTGTTAAAAATGTTAATGCTTCCAAAGAATGTACAAGGTCCTGCCATCTTCTAAGTTCTGGCTCCAAAGTAAATTTTCATCACTACCTCCCCAACTTACCTTCAAGCACCTCCCAACACCACACATATGCACACGTGCACACACACATATACACACACACACACTTTGGCCAGCAAACATGCCTAAAGACCCCATAAAATCCCTAACTCTGGCTGGGTATGGTAGCACACCTGTAATCCCAGCACTCAGGAGGTTGAGGCAGGAGGATTGCAAGCTCGAAGCCCTGGTCTATGTGCCAGAACCTATCTCAAAAAAAGACGAGTGCTCACTTTGACAGCACATATACTAAAATTGGAACTATACAAAGAAGATTAGCATGTCCCCTGCACAAGGATAACACACAAATTCATGAAGCATTCCATATTTTTGAGGGGGGAGAGGTGGAAGAGGAGGGGTGTGGGAAGGTAAATAGTGGGGGTGATCTAACCAATAAACAATGTAAGGAAAATTAGAAATAAGGGCAAAATAGTTTCTGCTGGGTATTGAGGGGGTGGGGAGGACAGGGAGGGGGCGGAGTGGGTGGTAAGGGAGGGGGTGGGGGCAGGGGGGAGAAATGAACCAAGCCTTGTATGCACATATGAATAATAAAAGAAAAAAAAAGGGAAAAAAAAAACAATGTAAGGCTATTCGGAATTTGAAATTGTCACAATATATCTTTCCTATACAATGAATATATGCTAATAAAAATTAAAATAAAAAAAAAAAGAGGAGGAGGAGGAGAAGGAAGAAGCCAGGTGCGGTGGCTCATGCTTGTAATTCTAGCTACTTGGGAGGCTGAGATTGGAAGGATAGCATTTCAAGGCCAGACAGAGCAAATAATCAGAGCAAAATGGACTGGTCATGGCTCAAGCCTGCAGAGCACCTGTTTGCAAGTGCAAAGCCCTAAGTTCAAACTCCAGTCCCACCAAAAAAAGAAAAGATGATGACCCCAAACCTGCATTGGCTCAGGGTTTCTTCTTTCAGAAACACCTAAATCTCCTTCCCTTTGTGAGAGAGAGAGAGAGAGAGAGAGAGAGAGACAGAGGCGCACACACACAAAGAAAATTATTTCTCACTCCTCTGAATTTTCATAGCACTTTATTCTCTTATTGTACTTACTTGCCATATATTACGGTTATTTATGCCTTATTTCATATACTAAATTAAATATACATTATCCTTAGAGAAACATCCATGAAAAACTCAACATTTATATAATAAACAAATGGATTTTCAACATGTCAGCAGTGATAGTCTATTAATTTCAAGAAAGCCATGTGATTTATTCAAACTGCTTCAAATAAAAGCAAATAATGATCAATAGACTTTCAAAAAATTGTTCAGCCACGAAAAACAGAAAGTATACAACATAAGCTGGCATTGCCCTTCCCCTATCAAAATCACCTCTAGCTATAAAATTATTTTCCCCTTTTAAAAATGGAATTATGAAATGAAACTTAAAAGGCAATAAAGGGGATTCGTTAAGGTACTTAAATCCCCCACCCCTCAAATTTCCCTACATAAACCCAATGCTGGGCTAGAGGCATGGCTCAAGTAGTAGAGCGAAAAGCAAAGTTCAAACCCCAGTACCACCAAAATAAAAACAAACAAAAAACAATCTCAGCAGCTCTAAAAATCCTCAACTGGCAGAAAAACTCCTTTTCTTGGCCTTTTATCCTCCCCTTGGCTTTTCTATTAGAATCTGACAAATAATCAATACCCTTGGATTCTGAAGTTTGCTCCTTCCTGTGTCTTTAAGTCACATGCTAGTTCTTCCAATCCTCTGGAACTGCTAGCTACTCTGCATCCCCTCACCCCAGCTTTTGCCTAGACCTATGCACTCAGCCCTCCTCTGGTACTTTCTCTTTTCCCATGGTTTCAACTATCATTTGCACAGTCCCCAAATCCATATACTCAGGGTAGGACCTAACGCCAGACGGTCTGCTGAGTATTTCATGTGGATAAAACCCAGCTTTCTCTGGATATAGACACTCTGGCATTTTCCTTCTTCCCCACTTACGTTCATTCAGGGTGCAGATCCTACCCACTGCTTCTCTGACTTCTCAGGAATCTGCCCCAGTTCTTATTATCTCCAGTCTTACTAGTTCCTCTCAGCTTCGTACTTCCTGATCCCTGGGGCATGAAAATAGCGGCTCAAGTGACCTTGCTCCTTTCTGCCACGCCTACACAAGTGAGCGCTGGTGCCAAGAACTGAGTATTCCTGCATCTGCAGATTAATCCTCCTGCTGTTCTGCTTTGATCACAGCACCCTCCAGCTCTGAACTTGAGTGGCTCCCCAATATTCAGGGGGCTCTACAATATTAACTCAATATACCAAGACAGAATTATGTGCTGTTACTCCCTTCCTTTTAACATCCTATACATTTCCTAACATATCCTGGCCTACATGGAATGGGGTCCGCTCACCTTACCTCAATTTGAATGACCAGTAATTGTTTAGAAATCATTTTGACTGGTTATTTTCACTTTTATTTTGTCACTATAAAAACTCAAATAAAACATATTTGTTCTTCTGAGCAAAAATGACTATTTCTCAACTTTGTCACCCCTCTGGGGTTAGAACTGCTAATTTCCTCTGACAATCAAAATGAAGCCGAATTGTCAGAATGGAAACTACTCAGGGGACTTGTCAAAATTGCTGTGATAAAGTACAGGCGGAAGAAGATAGGCTGACAATGTAACCGGAGTGTCCCTGCCTTCGCAGCAGGAACCAAGGCCAGAGATCAGACAAATAAGCAGAATGATTCAGAGCACCAAGAATCAAAGAATATGAGTGAACAAGCGCTAACATTTAGTACTGTTATCAAATGCTCTCAAAATACTTCTGGGGCCGGAAGCCAGTGTTTCATACCTGTAATCCTAGCTACTTGGAGGCTGAGACAGGGAGAATCATGGATCAAGGCCAGCCCAAGCACAGAGTCTGAGAGACACCCATCTCCAAAATAACCAGAACCAGATGGACTGGGTGTTTGGCTCAAGTGGTAGAACGCCTGTTTGCAAGCCTGAAGCCCTGAGTTCAAACCCCAGTCCAAAGGGAAAAAAAAAACAAAAACAAAAAACGTACTTCCAAGATTCCACTATCACCTCAAACTTGGTAAAATATTCATGGTTCCAAGAGCCATGATCCTAAAAAAAAAGGTTCTGAAAAACACATAGTTCTGGAAAAATGAAGTTTTAAGCAAAATACTGGGTTGGAAGGAACCCAAGAAATTCTCAAAAACTTCCTCCCACTCTTTAAAATAAAGCAGTAAAAATACTGTAGCAAGTTAACAGGTATAGCGATAGCAGTTTATCTATCTCAAATTAGGAATTTTGAATAACCTACTTGTTTTTGTTTCATTATGCCTAGACACTTACTTCCGTGATCACCCTTACGGGCAAATTAACAGGATTCTTATGTATTTGTTTTGCTTTTTGTAGCTAATATGTATGCATACAAAAATCACTTTTCT